GCAATGCTGTAGGTTCAACTACAGGGGGGGGGGGCAAAAAAAAGTCATTCCGGCCGAGTCACATATGAGCGAAGTTTTCGCAGCCCAGACAGAGGAAGTGGATATGAGTACCAGGGCGGAAGATACCCAAGATCTTCCTCTATAAGCAGGAGCCGGCTGCCGCCATTCACCTTCATGTACACCAAAATATGAAGTCATCTCCAGTCGCGGCCTGAGTGGAGAACGCCTTTGGAATTCACGTGGCCTCCAAACAGCTGCGGAACTTCTTGAATGGAATCACCCATGGATAGCTACCTGGAGACCAGTACTCTTGATCTGCAAGACCTCAAACATCGAGCAGCTCCGGCAACGTCGCTACGGTCCAGGACATCATCTTCAACCCCATTCACCAAGGCGCGGGTTGATGGTGTGGACCGGCCGTACCTGGAATGGATGAACCGATATTTTCTTCGTGGGCCCCAGACTGAGGGTGTGCGCTGGTGGCTACATCGAGCAACTCGAGGAGAATCTCCAATCTTCATATGTCGTCGCCCGGTACGTTTTCTTGGGAAATTTGTACTGGCTAACAGATTGGGTGACAACTAGACATTTTATCGAAAGGATGAGTGTGTTGGAAAAAGCTTCGCTACGGCAGCGCCTCGGTCGCGCGTTCGGCTCGATCGGCGCGCATGTTTTTGATTGCATCGCGCGACCGAAGCGCTGCCGTCGCGAAGTCTGAACGCTGCCTTAATGCTCGCTCATTTAGGCTTAGAACCAATTTAAAGGGTAGAGAGACTACTTGACCTGAGCGAACTAAAAATACAGATTGTAGAAATACTCAGCAATCGAGCGGTATCCCTGCGGTTCCTCTGTCCTTGCGAGTGCTCGGACAGGGTTACTAGCTACGATATCCCAATCATTAACGTTTTACTGACAACGATTTCGGGGTCATCCAGAGAGATAACTCTTTTACAGATTTGCACACTGAAATAGAAAGGTGAAAATTTGTTTTATTTCGTATACTAGAACCAGAGCAAGCAGTGGGTTGGAAAATCACCAGAGCAGAGGGGAGGCGGGTCGTATTAGGTCGCTGGAGGGGGAATTGTGCTCGCTCGCTAATATGAAGAATGCTGCCTAACGCCAAGGCGTACCCTGAAGTATAAAACCATAACTTTTGGAAGAACAAGTGATGCAGCCACTGTATGTGTTGTAGTTTAATCATGGAATTTGTACAGCTATTGTAGTGTACTTGTTTCAGTCCTCTCCTTATGAGGTGAAAGCTGCAGTGAAAGCAGCTATCGGAGCTGGCTATCGTTTGATCGATACAGCCGCAGTATACGAAAACGAAAACTCTATTGGTGAGGCAATTAAGGACCTGATCAAAGAAGGCAAAATCAAACGTGAAGATCTGTTCATCACCACCAAGGTAATGTTTCCTAAATGGTTTCACTGTCTTTACTTGATCGAGTTCTCGAGAATAAACTATTTTCGTTCCATGCATTCAAGAAAAAAACTGTGATTATGTGGTTATTCCAGGTGTGGATCACCCATGAACATCCGGACGAAACCGAAGGTGCAATTCGCGAGTCCCTTCGTAGACTTCAGATGGACTATGTTGATCTTTATCTGTCTCATATGCCAACCTGCTTCAACGTAAGTGTTATCCAACAATTTTCCATACAATTTAAAATACGCAGTTTTCATTGCCACCAAGGCAAGGTAATGCTGACCTGTTCCCTTTCGTTCAAGCATTCGACTTCCATTCAGAACTGGAAGTGAAATGCAAGCATCTCGTACTCCTTACGCGATGATTTTGATCTTTTGTGACTTATTTAGCACCAGCCTTGCGATATTGAGGGGAAAAAGGCTCGACTAGCGTAGACATCTATGCTGGAGTGACTACCTATTGTTCCCCAACTCACCCCATAGATACTGCTTCGAGTTTAAAAACAAGTGGCAGTTCGATGGAGCCATACGTGAAACAATGACTCAGAGGTAAATTATGAAAACGTTCATCAAATGGCGCCTTTTTGAAACAAATATAGGCAATTCTGAGAACAAACAAGAAAGCGCAGGTTTTGACAGAGCGCGTTAGCTAGAGGGCCCTTCACTTCTCCTCAGTTAGGATTGCTTCGTTCATACTTTTTTTTTTTCATAAGCAGTGAGTAGTCAGCCAACTGATCACTGTTCGAATCGGGGATGACCGTGAGAGGGGTGTTGCTTGGTCCAACTCTGGAATTGAAATCCCATGTTTCCCAGACAGTCACGTATTCCGCGGTTTCGTGAACAGCCGTGGGTGCTATATAACTGTCACTGGATAGTTTCAATTACATAACAGATCACTCTTCGTAATTAACCTTTATCAAACAATATATGTACAAATTACTGGATGGCGAAGCCAAAAAGAGCACAGACTGAGCCGGAATCTGCCACTGGAATCTAGGCTCAACCAGCAAGGAATAAGGGTTTTATCCAAAAATCTGCCATCTAAGACGTTGGACAAATCTTCGTATTTCGTTCCAAAGATGACAAAACACCCCCTTTGTTTGGAACCAAAAGGGAACAACAATTGAGCTTAATCACGCCTAGGCCAGCATGCATCTGTAGCCGTATCGTACGCACTTCCACTCTGCACACAGGGAATGACTATTCTTCACCCTTGAGGAGAACGAAGCTCGCACCACCCGACCCTTGAACCAAGGAATGCCATCCACGGCGTAGAAGTATATCACCAAGCCGCTCGCGACGACGTTGGGAAACTCCCCTCCCGATTCCGGGAGAGACCGATCTGCTCACCTTCCGTGAGCTCGGCAAAACTCCAGACTGACTGATCAGCTCGATCAGCCAACGGATCGACAGTAGATGGGGGCGTGGCCACAGTGTATGGTCTCGTGAGAGAACCACAAGTACCTAAGGATACACCTAGGGGTATCAGCGTCCACTTTAACGACCTCTTCGTAGGCACAAGCACGACCGCATCTCAATCCGAGATATTATGTATAAATTTGCCGAACTCAAAAGATTGGAAAGGGGTCCACATCCTTTCACACAACTTTTAAGACTTCCAAATTTTTTTTGCAGAATGACATGACAGAACAAAGGAAGGAAGTGACAGTACAAGATATATGGCGAGGGCTGGAAGGTGTCTATAATAAAAAACTCACTAGAGCAATTGGTGTGTCGAATTGGAACAGCGAACAAATGGAACGTGTGTTGAAAACCGCAACCGTGCCGATCCACAACAATCAGGTAATTTTGTCGTGAGATTGTATCGAGAGGGCTTCCTATTTCCGCTGTCACAGTTCGCGTAATTCAGGTAGAGCTTCACCTATACTGGCCTCAGCATGAACTTCACGAAACCTGCAAGAAGCATAATATCTCACTTACTTCGTATGCCACTCTGGGATCACCTGGTCGAGCACAATTTATGCCAGAGTGAGTTCACAGAACATGCCGATGGATTTCGCTTCATTGTGGATAGCCCAGGCCTCTGTAGAGGAGTAGTCGTACTGAGGTGTCGCTGATCATGCGATGTATGGCGTTCGTCTGGGGCGAGACGAGGGAGTGCATCGGCGACGCCCAACCGGACCACGCAAAACGGGGAATCGGAAGAGTCCACACCATCCTCTCAGAAGGGATAGGTCTCTTAGGAGACGCATGAGGA